GGGTCAGAGAGAAAGTTTGAACTAAATATTGTACTTCCTGAAAGGAACATTTATTTCTCAGTGGATGCATATTCTCATCTTTTATATAAATTTCTAGTATTCTGAAATATGAAGTAATCATAATTACTTTTTATTAAGACTGTAATATACTATTATCTTCCAATAGTGATATAATTGTTACACAGTGTTTGTATCTTTCTGTCATTTTTATCCCTATAAGAAAGTGGGATTTTTAAATTGAGAAGTCCGAAATCAATTTTTTTTCATTGTCATTCAACAAATATTTGTGGGCCAGTATTCTACTAACCTTTTGATGAGTATGAAAATGTGAGTGCATTCACATCGAAAGTGCTGGAAAGTGTATGAGCACACTGATATATTTTCCGTTTTCATTGTGTTGTACTTGTAGATCATAATCATACAGAGTGTTCAGTCATCGAGGAAACCAGGGGAACAGCGTGAGTTGGATACAGTATCTCTCACAGATTGCTGCTGTAACTGCCAATAACGGAATGAGTCATTAGCGCTGATGAATGCGCACACACTCGCTAGTGTAGAGCAGATGGATCGTTTCTCCACGACTATTCCCTCACATCAGTTTCTGTACATGTACACATTATAAGAATACTGTAAAAAGATAATACAAACCTGCCTTGCTTTATAACAGATGCTAACAGTGACCCCCTTCTGTTTGCAAACATGCATTGCATCACATAAATAAATTATGCAACACTGTCTGAAGTTGGTCCATGGTAATTTAACTAATTATGCGTGTTATTTTATATGGACAAAATTTGATTAATTTTGTGGCTCTGACTGAAAGCAGATCCTAGCGAAACACTGGTTTTCTGTGCTAAGCATCTTAATGATTTTCGAACACTGATCTGTAGTCGTGCCACAATATCTAGAACTTTTTCTTCAGTCAACACAATCCTCTTCGATTGCTTCTTTATGTCACACACTGGACCTGTGGCCTGCCACTTTTTCACAAGCTTGGATACACACGACTTTGTGGGAACTGGCACATCAGGATATTTACAACGAAACTTACTGATACATTTTCTGTAAGTTTTTGCCTTGAAAAATTTTTAACAGTAAACACATGGTGTTCAATAGTGAACTTCATTTCAGCATAAATGTCGACCCCCTATCAAAATCTCTAACACAGACTGACTATCACTGCGACTTAACTGCAGTGACAAGATCATGCCACCTGACCGTGCGCGTTTATCAGTGCTAATGACTCATTCTGCTATTGGCAATTACAGCAGCAATCTGTGAGGTATGTTGGGCCGTGTCAGCGGTGTTGTGAAGTTTCCTCCTTGATTGAATTCAGTGTATAATGAAAGTCAGATATGCTGTCAGGAGTGTCCCATGGAATGCAAATGCACTGCAGAGCTTTACTTTGGGCCCGAAGCATCTGAAGTATTTTGTGTAAAAAAAAACTCACCCTGTCAGTGCTTTTAGGCGCTTCAAAATTCGTCCTTTGAAGGATTAAGGAAGTGTCTTGTGGTTATTTTTTCACAGGCAATAAAAATTACTTTGAGTCAAGGTGTTGGAGGAACTTCCCATGACGTAGGTCCCTATAGACTGTTGGTGTCATTGCTAGATAAGCCTGATATTGGCCCAGTCATATTGGATGATATATTATATGAAGTATTCAGGTAAGTTGATTTATTTGGAAACTCTTTTCCTAGCCAAAACTAAGCCATTGAAGCCTCATACATCTTATATATTTTTTTTTAGCATTCTGCATGAATTAAACATGATTTATCACTGTTAAACACAAAACTATCACAAAACTGATGTCCTAACTTTGTTGATAGAAGAAAATTGACTAAGTGGTTATACTTAAGAGTGGCCGATGAGCAGAGAGTGATTGAACAATATAGAATGCATTCAGTAATAACTGTAGGCGATTCTGAAACATGCTGAATTCCCACACCCGCAGTATAAATTTTAAGGATTGCACATTGTTTAATACCCCTTATCATGAGATGCCTTGTTTTTAATAATAACTATTGTGAGCCATAAAAATGTAATGGTGAAATTAAAGATTACTTCCAGATCTACCATACCCTTTGTTTTTATTTGGTTTCCTGTAGATTTATCAATGTTGGAGCCATTGGGTTTTTGAATTTACCTTTTTGTTATCTTTTCAAGAAACAGTTTCCTGAAACATTTAAATCCCCCTTTTATCCTTTAATTCTCTTTATTTGAGTTTGTTTTCCAAATTGTCATCTGAGCTATTTCTTGGTTTCCTAGGTAACCTCTATCCATGCAGTTTCCAAGCCAAAATTTATATTTATTTTCTTTTGCTATGTTTGTTACTTGCTCATATCACATCAGTCTAGTTTGTTCTTATCTTGACAATTGTATAAACAAGAATTTAAAATTATCTGTTACATAATGTTCTTCCTGCTTTTTTCCTTCATCTTCCATATGTAGAAGTGTCACCAATGTAGTGTTCTAATATCATCATTTACCTCTGAAAAGAATTTAAATTTGATCCGTGATTACTTACCTTCTCTCTCCTCTATGGGAGCATCTGTATGATCAGCATATGCACTTTTTACTTCCAGAACATTGTATCTTGCATGTGAATGTAATGCTGACAGTACTGGGAAAACTGGTGGATCTATATACAGAGGTAGTCAAGAGTTGCTCAAGTCTGCCAACTTGCTCTTCAGTACCCTGGAACCATGTTACATTTGGATCTATGCAGGTACTCTCTTTGATGAAGCCTGTGAACGGCAGACAACAAATGAGGAAGCAAGTTTAGAGAATGAACGGTCACCCAAAGGAGAAGTTAAACCTGTTGGAAGTGGACCACCAGATCTTTTAGAGGTAAGACTGAAGAGATTGTAAAAGATATAAGATGCCACAATACTTTTTGGTGTTTATATGGGGCAAGAATTTACATATATGAACTGTTTAAATAGCAGGGTATAATGATGAATTAAATATACTGTAGTTGTAGGTAATAACGTGGACACAGGCATAGAAATGGAAAAGTCTTGACTAATGATTGTTCATCTGATGATTTCAGTGGTAACATAGTTTATAAATGACTGTGTTGTCTGTTCCCACAGTGAGATGTCCACATTATTTCTGTGGGTATCTGTGTTTAGTTTCATTGTGAACTGAGTTAATTTGATAATTAAAGAATCAAGTATTTCTTTCCATTTTTCTTACTACAGTTAATGATGTAAGTTGTATGTAGAAGTATACGCAGAGGGTAAATTTTTAAGTGCACTTCATTATGTTGTTTGATTTGTTTATATTTTATTTATGTCTGTTTGTTCACTTAATTGTCTTGTGGTTTTCATGGAATGTTATGAACCAGTTCAAGTACCAGTATGGAAATGGTTGAAATGCCTCATATTCAGTGTTCTTAGATTATTTATAACCTTGTGATACTTCATTTCTCTTGCTTAGGTAAGTGTGAATGTCCTGAAATGTTTTTAATATGACTGACTGTTAATCAGAATTCCCTGAGTTCAAGAAGTTTCCTATTACTGAAAATTTTAATCTTATATCAAATCCCAAGGAACATTAGACTGTGTGCTGCATGTCCCACTGCACACTTTACCCTTACAATATATGAATTAACAAGTTGCATTCATATTGTGAGGAGTAATTATCCCAATTTTCTGAATCTGATGAACATACTACATTCTATTGTATAAGGAGGCTAGAAAGGTCACCACAACTCTCTACAGAAATCACTAAGTTCTGGTTGTCCTGTCTGCAGTGGATGTGAATGGCATAACTAGAATACATAACTAGAATTAGAATAAATCTGTTAAAATTGTATGGTGCTGCAGTGACCCACCAGAAATATTTTACAGGACAGGGTAACATATTTAAACTGACATGTTTTAATTTTTTATAATATAATTTACATATGTTAGTAAACATTTCCAAGTTCAGTTATTGTATTATTATGTGAGTGTTCAAAGACCATGGCTTAAATAATAGCCTAGCCTATTATTTTAAAATTATAACCATCTATGTTGATTTTTCTTTGTTTTCTAGGTGTGTACACTGACTGAATTCCTCCTAGATACGGTATCATTAGAAACCTACATGGACACACCCAGTGAATATCTCCCAGGATTATTCCTTCATATAATTACTCAATTAACGCAATATTGTGATGCATTGCTGCCACAAGAGGTCACCCGAAGTCTTCAGCTTTGTGCCAAAATTCTTTCTAGAATTCAACCATCAGCATTAGCCAACAATCCAGATAGTGCAAAAGTTTCTACCCTTGATCTTTCAGAAGAGAAGATTCAAATTATCATACAGTCTGATGTTGTCAAAAGCTGTAGTGACCTGTCAAGTGGACAGTTAGTTCGTAGTAGAGCTAACAGTGATTTGTCTGAAAGCAGCAGAACAAGTAAAGACAGATCAGAAGCAAAGAAGGCGTCATCCAAAATGAAGAAGTCTTATAGTGCCAGATTTCGTAGTAAGCGTCCTAAGAACTCGCTCAGTAATTACTCTGTCAGTAGTCCAGTTTTATTATATGTAGCAAAGACTGATGGTATGGAGAGGAGTCTTGCTGGAGATAAACATATGGATGATCTGTCAAAGAGTGCTGAGACTCTAAGTTCAGAATCCATATCTCATATTGGGAGAGAGAGTCCAGATATAAGTAGATGTGCGGGACCCTCTATAGAATGTGGATTGAACCAGATGGACAGCAGTTTAAGTAGATATGGGTCATCACCCCATAACCCTTCAGTTGTTCCAGAATTTCAGATCCCAAGCAAGCAGCAATCTGTGCTTGAGGAGTGCCTAAGACAGTATGAGAAATTTTATGTCAAGTTTGTTGGTGGACAGCATGTTATAAATGGCAGAAAAGTATGTGAACTGTTTCAGGAATTGTTAGTTGTTCTTCCATGTGAAACTGACAAGATCCGCGCAGAAAAACTTGAATGTTTATTATACAGATGTTTGAAAACTAGTAAAGAAGAGGCTGGTTCCTTTTCAGATGACTCTTCAGTGTCATCATGCAGGTGCACAAGCTTGAAGAGTAAGAGTTATGAATCATGGGTGCATTTGAAATCTGTGTCTGTATGTCATCAGAGTGAGCAGTGGGAGGAGCCAGTGAAAGTTGCTTCAAGCCTTCTTGTTGAACTGTCTACTTTTCCAACATATTGCCTCCCTGGAGGGTCATCACTGATTACAGATGAACACATGGAGCTGAATTCTTTTCCTGAGTGGCTACGAGTTCTAGTTGTGTGTGCATGTTGGCTCAGCAGTGTACCAGCACTCCAGTTAGTTGCTATATCAACACTTTTAGATCTCATCTCCCTCTTGAGATCACAGTGTGAGAGCACAGGAGTTGCTGAGAATGAACACCAAGGTGTTGTAGCTGTTGTTATGGTACCTCTCCTAAAACCATGGCATGTTCAGTATTTAGAGCATCATACAAATGTAGTTCCAGTACTAGCTCACTCCCTTTGGCACCATCTAGGCCAGTTGAGCTCAGAGCACAAAGTCTTCTGTGTTGAACTGTTGCACCAGTTGCATAATGTGTTACCTGGTAGTGATGCTGTTGAGAATGTTATAGGTGAATCTTTGACACAGGAAAACGTTGAACTCAGGGTGGATGCTTTCCAGAGGTTTGCTCTGATGTGGCATGTTGGGCGGGAAGTTGAAACCAAAGCAGGAATAAACAGGAATTTGCGAACTTTTGACAAGTCACTCTTGAAGATGTTAGATAATCTTCTCTTAGTTGAAAGTTGCCCTCTAAAATTGCTAGCACAGTCATGGTTACTGCATTCCTTCCTTTGTGGAGATATCTCACGACTGCTGGATCCCCTTCTTTTGATGTTGTTAGATCCTGTCACAGCTCGAATGAGTGTTCTTCATGTGAGCATTGAACATTCAAACACTGTTCTTACATGTGCTATGAAAGATGTCGAAAATGGAGACAATTTGGATGAGAATTCAGCTACTGCAAAGATCTATGCAGTCAGTTCTGTTGATGGGAATGTAATCTATCATGTTTCTGACTCCACAGATCAGAGGAGTATAAAAAATCAAAAAATTGACAGGAGAAATATGACAGATAATCCTGTTAGGGCGAAACGAATATTTGCTGTGACGACACTTGTTGGTGGAGGAAAAAGAAAGAACCATTATATAACTGAGAAAAACTCATATATTAAGGAACATGAAAATGCATTTCCATTAAACAAGCCCCAGTTACAAAACATATCAGTCTTTGTAAATCCTTTTTCATCTGCCGTGACCAACAGCAATACTTCTAATGATTCTGTAGCTGAAGATGATTTGGCAGCCATGAGTAATGGGAAAGTTGCAACCGCACATGAACATGTTTGTAATGCTACTAGGTTTCATCAGAGTAAAGTGGGACATGAAATGGGGAGGGAAGAAAAACCAGCTGACATTTTAGAATCAGTCGGCAAGAAGAGATCTGATCCAGACCTTTCAGAATGTTGTTCAAAATCTGAAGCAGAGAATCAGAGACTTACAAAAGGCATAGAAAGTGGATCTGAACAATATCAAGAAGGAGAATCATTCAGCAGCACTAATGTTAATGGTGGATTTGAAATGGTTAGTGGAGTTGAGCGGAGGTGGCCTGTAGGGGATGAGGAGGCACTTGGAGAACTGGAAGAGTCAGCATCTGCTGAGGAGTTCTTTGAAAATGATGCTGTAAGCAGGGTTGATCCCTCTAGCATCAGTATAGTTGAGGAGATATTGCAAGATATCCTCCATATGGTGGTCAGCCAGAGTGCTGAGGGCAGGGAGGTGAGTGTTTTCATTAGAATTATGTTTGATTAACAGAGTAGTAGTACAGGGTGGCGCAAAAAGGTGGGAACTCTTGAAAATAGAGAAAAAAAATACTTTTTTTTTTAATTTAATCAAGGTACTCAGTGTGCACTTCTACATTGGAAATTTAAAAATAACTCACAGTTTGAAAATAACATCGTGAAAATGATGTCCATCTTGCCGAATACACTCTGCAAGTCGATCCTGAAAATTGCGCATGGCTCGGAGCAAAGTGTCGGGTTATATTGCTGCGATCTCTTCTGTTATTCATCTTCTAAGTTCGGCTAGGGTTGTGGGGCGTGTATTATAGACCACACTCTTCAAATAACCCCATAAATAAAAATCACACACTGATGAGTCTGGGGAACGAGGTGGCCAAGCAATGTCACCGTTTCTGGAAATTACATGGTTACCGAACAGACGCCTGACCGCTGCCATTGACACTCTTGCTTTGTGTGCGGTCGCCCTGTCCTGTTGAAACCAAGTGTTTTCGATATCAGTGTTCGGTACACTGTGAATTCTTGCAGCAAGAAACGTCTCAAGCATGGTTACATAACGCTCAGAAGTTACTGTCACCGTGTTTCTTGCGATGTCTTCAAAAAAATATGGTCCTATCACCCTTTGAACTGAAACTGCACACCATACAGTGACCTTGGGGCTGTGTAGAGGTTGTTGATGAAGAACAGCAGGATTTTCTTGTGCCCAGTACCGACAGTTCTGCTTGTTCACATACCCATTTAAATGAAAATGAGCTTCGTCTGACATCCACAGATTTTCAATGAAATCAGGATTCTCGTCAATTTTGTTCATTATTGCTTCACAAAACTGTCGGCTGAACAAATGGTCATTAGGTTTCAGTTCTGGCACCAGTTGCAGTTTATAGGGATTAAACTTGAGTTCATGGAGTATTTTCTGAACAGACCGATGACTTACAGTCATTGCTGCTGCGACTTTCCCTACTGAGCGATGTGGACTTCTCAGGATGGAGGCTTGCACGGCTTCGACATTTTCCGGAGTCCGAGCACTTCGTGGACGACCAGAAGACTTTCTCTTTCCCACTGAACCAGTCTCTTCGAAATTTTGAACCCACGTTCGAATTGCATGTTTAGATGGAGCGTGGGCACGAGGGGCAAGGTTGAAATGCCGCCTAAACTCCCGTAAGGCCTCAACCAAACTGTCGCCATGTCGATAATAAGCCCGCACGGCTACTACGCGTTCTTGAACGTTCCACTGTTCCATGGCTACTAAACCTCCGGTGCTACTTTACAACTTACCACCCTCCCCACATTTCTCCTCCCCTCACACTGCTGTCAACATCACATTTAAAAGTTACCATCTTTTTGCACCTGCCTGTACATTAGAGTTCTATTCATTAGGTACCTATTCAGACCTTATCTAGGAAATAATTCTTATGATAGAGATATTGGAATGGGAAACAGAATACATATTGTATATAAAATTTTGTTAGGAGAGCTTATTCAGGCTGCTTGGGAGACCAGATGTGTTTGGGAGGCATGCAAATGTAGAATGAAGTGGGTTAAAATAAGAGACCAAAATAAGATGGCTTCCATGATGCCAGTATTAGGCATCCTCCATAATAACAGAGAATGCTTTTAGTCTTGAATGCCTGTTGACTACTCATAAAAGATGTTATAAAATTAAGTTACAGTGAAATCCCCATTTAATGTTCTCAAGTCAAGTTTGTATCTCATTTAATATTCCATATCCAAAGTCAGGAATATCAGTATTCATTTTCCTTACTTTAGTGTTCAGAGCCACTGTTCACCAAAGAAACCTTAAATGGTGGATTTACTATAGCTTTAGCAATTTAAGGTGTGTTTGACGAAACATTTTGTTTTAATGTGTCATTATTTATTTTTTTTAGGTTAAAGGTGGGAATAAACAATATTTTGACGTGAAATCACCCTGCAAACAGCCAGTGGGAATTGGAATTCATCCGTTTCATTCACACATGCTCCTCTACTGTGGTGTTTATGACTCACATAGAACATTGTATGCTCTCAGTTCACTTCGTAGCATCTTGCTAACAAATGCTCGTATGTTCCTGTATGCTGCTGCAACCACAGGCCTTGCTAATGTTGCCAGAAGCTCTGATCTTCTCATACTGCTTACTAGACATCGCAAGTCAGTGTTTGGCAGGAGTTTCCATGGAGATATTGCTGCCTCAAGTGGCGAGTTTGGAACAGCATACCGAAGTAGCATGTACCTGGAGGCTTTAATCTCTGTTTGTCTCTATTTTGCAAGGAGTTATTATCCTAATTTGGGTCAGATGCGACTCACCCAAGAGGAAATAGCAGGAAATAGACAGGTATTTTATTACACCACAGTTGTGTTGGGTATTGTCCACAGTCTGATATACATACTGTACACAAGCCTATACAAATTTCCTACAAATCTGAGAGCCACATCAAGAAAATAACTATTGAATTAAAAACCAAAAATACTTTGTTGAGAACGTTGCTTAGTTTTTTGACAAACAGACATTTGCAGGCTGTATATATAAATAATAGCTTATTCCACATGTGCTTGAGGGCAACTTACTATGTCATTCCTAGAATGCAGCAAAAGCCCAATCTGTTTGCTGTTAGCTGTTGGAAGTGTCATTTAAGAAGCTGAAGTTTTACTAATATGCATTATGTGAGAAGTCCAGTATGTTCCTGTTGTTATAAAATCAGTGAAAGAAGATTGTTCTCATGCATTATTGTGGCATGTCATCCTGTAATATAGTTTTGGCCAACTGAAAAAATTCTCAACTACACTTTGCATTTGAATTCTTATATTAATAGGACTATGCTTTATGCATTCTTTTATTATGACTTATTGATGTTTATGTTTTGTGGCTAAAGGTACAGCTTGCAAGTGCTGAGCTTCTCATGCTCATCTGTTCCGAGTTAATTTACCTTGTTCGTGATAGTGGCAAGGGGTTTGCTTGTTACATAGCGGACCTACTGTCACGATGCAAGGTTCAAAAAGTGGTTCTTCACTGTGTCCTCTCCAGTGTTTATAGCATGAAAACCATTGCAAGTAGCCAAGATGTTCATGCTGCAAAGGTATGTATTGAGAAACTGGGCCCAAATATTAAATGTCATTCTGAAGGCAAAGTTCAATTTTTCATGCCCTTGCCTGGGTGAACAAAAACGTTTTACTTTTCATGTATACACAATAAGCACATCACTGATACTGACACAGTCATTGATTGGAAAAACAAGGTACGTCTGCTGAAAAAGTGGAATGAGGCAGTCTGTATCCTATATATGATAGTCTACCATACGAAAGTCACCATCATAGCAATGGCCATAAGTTCTGGCAGGATTTAAAGCTGTATGCATGAAAATTTGGGCAGGAGGAGGAATCCACGCCCAGACCTGGCTGGGCATAGAATGAAGATCTTCAGCTTTGCATGGTTGGAGCTGATTGGTTTTAGTAGGGCCTCAGACAGGTTCTGATCGTAGCATTGAGGATAGGGCTATTTTAACAAATCATGTTGAAATCAGGGATGCACAATGGAAGCAGTAGTGGGCTGAGTACTTGGAGTGACAGGTGGTTGACCCCTGCTTCCGTGTCAGTACTCACTACTCTGTTAGGATTCCTTGGAAGGTGACACTGGAAACATTTTTTGGACTGGTAGTTCATTGCTCATGAGTTTATATTTGTGAGACCGCTGTGGTCAAGGAGAAGTTCTTGCATACCTATTGTATTGTGCTGATCTTGTACCATATGAAGGGTTGTGTGCTTTCATAGATTGCATTGGAGGAAGTTGCTTGTGGAGTGAGCTGTGCATCACTGGCTCCGCAAGTCCCTATATGAGTACATTTCTGACCTTGAAAATTTCCTGCCTACCCTCCACATGTACATGTCAGTTAAACTGGGAAATGAAGTGAAGGGCATTGGAAGGTTATTTGTGGCTTGATGTTTAAGTAACTTGGTCTACGGACCACAGTAACCACTGCTCCTGACCTGCGATGTGGTTAAGTGCAATGAATGTTGTGCATTTCTTATCTATTTGGCAGTATTGATTTTATGTACATTAGTGTTTTGCATTTTCTCTGTTCTACTCAAGTTTTCTTTCATTTTATTGTGTAGCCCTGCCCCTCGGTCTAGTTCATGGATCTTTGATTTGCGGTTTTAGTATTGTTTCACTTAACTGTGTTTGTTATTTACAACTCTTTTTCCGGCTATGTTATGCCGCTGAACTAGGACCACACCAAGATCATTGATCACTAATGTAAACCTAAGGGTTCGCTACTTATACTACAGCCCCATTATTGTTTGTATCCTATTATTTCTTTATTGCTTACTTAGTGAGTTCTGTTACAACTATGTCACAAATTATTTAGTCACATTGTAAACCTTAAATGGGACAGTCGCAAATAGCAGTGAAAAAGGAAAGGAAGATAAAGAGGAAGACTGTAGAGGTGAGTTTGTCCTGTACTGCCCTATCTTTCCTAGACTCTCTTCATGTGACATGCAGCCACGTTTTAAACAGTTATACATATGCTGCTGACATACAATATTTTGAAGACAGTTGCATATAAGGGATTCTTACGATCACCAGACTTGAAATGTGGCTCATATCTTAGTGCACTTCGAAGATGCCATATATAATGTTGCCAGATACTGTGAACTGGACAAAGTATCTATAATTGACAAGCCTCAGATATTGGAGCTAAAGTGATAAAATGAACTAGAATAAAATTTACATATTCTTACATGTCTGTTTCAACTGAATTTTAATTGCAGTCATCTTTGTCTGAAGAGCAGCCGCAACAGAGGACCTTCACAGAGGAAATAGTATTGTTCAATGATCCGGTAGTAGAAGGAAATGAAAATACTGGCAGGTGTAAATACCGAGGATCAGATCATTCTGAAGGTTTTCAAATTCAGTTGCTTAGGTAAGAATTGAGACACAGCTTTTGTGTAAGGCAGGCAGGCTCTGATGAATTTTTTTGGTGGGGAGGGAACCATACAGCATTAAATTAATATTGCTGTAATATAAAAATCTGTGAATGAAGCATTTTATAAACCTGAAGACTATACAAAATATAATGGATATTTATTGAATACTTGAATCTTCTCTCTGTCTCATTCCAATACATGTTCATGGCATGGTGCTTAAATAACTTCCTTTCCAGACTTCTCTTGGCTCTGATAATGCTTGAACATCAAGTAAACTGTCAGAAAGGTGATGGTGAAACAGCTGCAGTAAGCAAAGAAGTAATGCAGGTATCATCACTGAGCAGAGTGCCAGCAAATCAACTGAAATACATTGGCGGTCATGTGATTGCACAGCAGCCTATGTTCCTTGCAGCTATCCTAAGTGCACTTCAGCAGGTTTGAGCCTAATATTCCCTGTCTAGGTATTATGTATAGAGGAAGGAAAGTTTAGGGTTGTCTCTTCATTAATCAGTTGGAAACATTTCTTGACAAATAGTCTGATGACATCTTATTTTCAAAAGTTTTATTTAAACAGAAACAGAAAAGGGTTCTTCCATACTGTTTTGATGAACCAGACTTGTTAATTCTCTTGCATGCTTAAATGCACTTTATGTTTATTTTATAAAATAGTTAACAAATAAGAAATGTTGCAGATAAAATTAATAGAAGTGTAAATGTCATAATCTGTACTGTTCTTTCATTTCCATTTCCATGACTTGGTTTCATAACAGAAAAGGTAAAATTGCATGGGATGTTGTCTTCTCTGGTTAAAACCATTTAACCTGTGTGGCTTTGTAAGGTGTACTGAAACTAAGGTCGTATGCCATGGCTTTCTGTGTGTTTGATGCCACAAATTGTAAATTTAAGTAGAGAGATCTGTATTTATTTGTAGTCAGGGAAATAATTTTTGCAACATACTCTCCCACTGAATGTGTCTGGATTATGCAAGAGTCGTCCAAAAAATAAAACTCCAAAATTGTTCTGAGGAAAGTTTGAATGGTTCTTTAGTTCTTTATTTCATTCCATAGATCCATACAATTGAGGATGTGGAAACAGTCATATAGGAGGAGCAATAAAAACATACATAATCAATCAATCCATAGATCCATACAGTTGAGGATGTGGAAACAGTCATATAGGAGGAGCAATAAAAACATACATAATCAATGAAAACATTACACAACATAGCAACAACAACATTTGGCAGACAGTCATTACAAGGGAATAGTAGCATTATTCTTGTCATATCTAAAATCAAAATATTTATCTAAAGTATAAAATGAATGATCGCATAATTTTTTTTTTCAAAGCCAGTTTAAAATCTACAGGATTGTAATATAATTACTTTATGAAAATAGGAAGATTATTAAACACCCTGATACCCATATAATAAGCTCCCTTGAGATATAGTGACCGATGGGCTGAAGGTTGATAAAGATTGAAATTATAACCATGTCTTGTGAATCCATGTTGTTAACCATAAAAGACAGTAAAGAATAGATATATTTGGATTGAAGAGGGAGAATACCCAAAGTTATGAACAATTGCCTACAAGAGTCTCTACTTCCGATACCCGTCATTATTCTGAGTGCAGTGATATATATGCAGTAGTTATCGGCTGTTACCAGTGTGCTGGTGCTGACAGCAGTTCTGAATGTCAGCGTTATGTTTTAATCAGAAAACTCTTATGAAGTTTGTTATTGTGGAGGTAGGAGAGTCTATAATGATCATCATTGTTAGTATGCATGTAATAGGCAGGGGAGTTAACAAGTGGTAATACGTCTCTTGGTGATGATCTGCATAATGGGTAGCCACTAATGGTGCAGACTGATTATAACAGTCAGAGTGCTGATGACTTGATAGAGGATATTGTCACATGATTGGGTGACTGTGGACAGGGTTTGAATTGGTAATTGGATATTGAACATTTACAGATTGTAAGTACAAGTAACTCTAGCAGTATCGCTAATTCACAAACTCTGCAGTACACTACAACACACACTAAGTCTTTTCAGTCTGTTGTGTCTTCACTGGTTGTCTGATAACAGCTTTCCACACTGTAGCACCCTCAGCTTTTGTGTTCATGTCCTTACTGGCCAGAGACCGTGTCACATCTAAGTTGGTATCTATCTCACAATTAACTCAACATTGCTACATAATGGCTTACAGCAATGGGGGCTCCTCCACCTCCTATGCCTCCACCAGGGGCCACTGTCTCACAACAGCCACAGACTCAGATTGGTCTGTTTGCAGACTCTCCCCAAACTTGCTACTGACATCTCTAGATTGAATGTTTGTATTTCGATTCTTCAGATGTAGGCTCTGCACAGACCCACAGAGAACGTTGTTCCTCTGTTGATGTGGGTGATGTGGTATCACGTGTTCCACTGTAGCAGCATGGTTCACCTGGCACCAGATCACATGGCAACACTGCTTCCCACAGCTCTCCTGTTGTTCACGACATCACTGCAGACTTGGACATGACATGTTCCTCTGTTGCGTGTCAGCGTAGCTGTAGTCACATGACCTGGTAGCCGTGGAAATATGTTTACAGAGCTGTTGCCTTGCAGTGGCCATCTCTGCTGATTAAACTATTCTGGCTTTCAGTGGACATACCACAATATGAAAATACTCTCTTTTTGGAAGCGAAGTTGTGTAATGTTATATTTCAGCGTCCTGTTGCACTGATTTATGTCCATGATTTATTCTGACCGTCTTACAGTGCATACATTTATTCGCCTCACTCTTCTCTCTTGCACTACATGTTTCAGCACTGAAGTGCCATCTTCAGGTGCTTTTCTATGTACGTCGAACTACTGAAGATGGCACTTCAGTGTTGAAACATGTAGTGCAAGAGAGAAGAGTGAGGTGAATAAATGTACTCGTATGCACTGTAAGACAGTCAGAATAAATCATGGAAGTTGTGTAATCTTGTAGAAAATATACTGACATGTCATAGGAATCTCTCACCCCTAGCTTCACGGTAGATGGAGGCAATGGTTAATCTGAAATGTGGGTATCTTTGTGTCAGTTTACACAGCTAAACATCTCAGAGGATGGTAATTGTCATATTAGATTTGAGGTTTTCACAGCAGTGGCTGTGAAGGGACTTGCAACTTGCTTCACGCTGGTTGCTTTCTCAGCTTACTCTTCAAGCCTGAAGATGAAGGCAGTGTGTACATCTGAAGTATTGGTAAATTTCTACCAGAGTGCATGGCTTCACATCCCCAGAAGGCATTAATCTTAATATTCACTTCTATGAGAACCTCAAATTTCAAAAGTAGTTCTGTTTCAAGAAGGTGGCTACTCAACAGAAGTTATTGAAAAGAAATAAATATATACAAAAAAGGTTTATTAGATGTAAATCTGTCATTTGGTAGTCTGGTAGTCTCAAATGAGGAGTTTCTTATCTGACTAGCTAGTCAGTAACATTCATTCTTGTTTCAGTATAAAGATTTTTCTACCCCTTTTCTCCTTCTAGGACCACATGAGACACTTGCATCAGCACTGGACAACTATGGTTATATCTGCCCTTCCATTCATGGTTCAGTCCCTCACACACGTAGTGATGAGTGTGGTGAATCAGTTGTGCTGCAATTTGGAGAAACTGTCTGTATTTTATGGAACGTCTAGCCGTTGTGGGGAGTCGTACAAAAGGTGGGAAAGAACAGACATGCCGCTTTTGTTTTGTATATTCAGAGTAAAAAATACTGATTTTTCTTTTATTTGTCAATATTTGATGTGGACAGCAAAATATTTGTGGTATAAAGTCAAGAATTCAGTTTATTATGTGATGTTTACAGTGCAGTGATCTGTTGGCAAATATTCTGTGGACCTGCAGACCTCTCATCTGTTTTTTGTGAGGCATCAGGCCTATGACCTTATTAATTTTTCTTAATCTGCAAGTATTTCATGTAGGTGGATATCCTGACAGAAGTTGTTTGTGATTTTCCTCATTCCCTCCACTCAAATACAAGGCCTTGATTAGGGCCATGGCTGCTTACTTTCAGATCCTTTCCAGTTTATCCATCTGTTATCCTAACATACAGTGACGTATAGTCAAAATACCAGTGTCATTAAATAAACTACAAACGATCCTTTTCCTTCAAGATAATTGTTTCTGTCATGGACATTACTATAGCTGTGAAAAGCCCCATCTTATGGGATATAATGCCATGTAGTCAGTGAAAGCATTTCAGAAGAACAGACTCCCTCCATCTTCAGGTTTGAACTGTGAGCCAAGCATAAAGCAGACAGCAAGTAGTCTGATACATTCTTTCAAAATGTTTGTTAACTTTCACCAGACTGCACAGCATTATATCTGAGAAGACAGAACTCTTCATAGTCACAGATGTGAGGACTCCAGATCGAACTCTTCTATAGCCCTTTGTTTTTAAATATTTCAGTACACCACCTGCATCGTGCTGTTTGCCAGCGGACTACACGGTGACACAATTGGAGGCTCTGACTGTACTGTGCCATTATTGCCTGTTGGATAATACCCAGCAGTTGTCCCATGCTTTCAGTCAGCAGCTGTTGGCTGGATCTGGAACCATACACATGGGCATACCTGGAGCAAATCCTGGCCAGATATTTAATAACCTGGTACATGTGTTCATGCCAACACCACTACAACAGGTAGTTATTTCACTTATTCCTCTCACTGATGAGTATAACATGGAACACCAAATGACACAGATGAATGGATAATACTGTAACGTGTTTTGTTACTGAAGACGCCGTTCAGACTGTTAATTGTTTATTTAACAACCTACAAATCTCGGCTACTGTTATGCCGCAATTTCGAGACTGAAAATCAAAAGACATTGCCTAAATGTTATGAGACTTGCAAAAGCGTTTTATAGCAATTAGAGCGAGGATGACAACACCTGGACTAGGGATCTAGGTTAAGAATGTTGACGCTCAGTATTTATGCGTAATCGCATAAGTAGGAAGCTCCCCTAACTGGGCCATGGGAGTATAATGAATTTATCAAATACGCAGTGATGAGGTACGACGGACCCGCCCACCACCAAAGGGGTTAGCCAATGGAAACCCTCCCCCCCCCAAAATATAGAAAAAGGGGAGTAGTTTACCTCCCTCTTTCGCCAACTGCAGCGCCAGCAAAATTAGTGTATAAAAAAAAAACTCAATGGGGATTTGATCTAAAAACGTAACAATTAGCCGCAGGCTCTGTCCGACATGGGTACTACGAGTGGTGGTGTCGCTGCGTCTCTAACTCAAGTAAGTCATGTTTGCTCATACAAGCCATGCTGTTAAACCTTGTGGTTGTTGGTAAATTGTTGTTTGTCAAATGTTGCAAACAATGTCCAGTGTGCCAAGCGAGTTCTTGAGGGTAGAATATGAAAAATGATGTAACATGCAATAGGTGAGGTTGCTAGTGTAGTAAATATGGCAGACGTTAGATAGAGTGTTAGGATTACTGGTAGTGTGCAGAGCATGCACACTTGTATTTATACTTGTGACTCTTGATTTTGTGATAAATATATGTAGGCTTTCAGTATGTATAACTTCAGGGGCAGAATATTTTAAGGGTGAAGTATTATGACAGAATAGTGTAGAATTATGTAATGAGTAGTAGGGAATAGAGAGAGGAAAGAGGATCACATTGAGCAATGAATACTTGCATATCCTCATGAGTCGAAACAGAGAGAGAGAGAGAGAGAGGCTCAAGTCCTACACCCCAGAAGGGGAGACCATGATGAAGTCATAGCATGGTAAAGTCAAGACGCTATATAGTCCTGACCGAAGGTCGGCATTGTTCATACTGTAGATAGGATTGTAAATAAGAGTGTAAATAGACAAGGTAATTAGAGTAGGATGTACTGGGATTGTGATTTACTTCCCCAATCCAACCCATCCACGACCGATCCAAAGCGATCCTGACCCAAGCGAAGGCAGAACTGACCCAGGTAGCCAACAGCAGCCGGATGCAACTAGCAGTAAGGGTTATGAGAATCCTAGTTAAGGGTGAGAGACTAGTAGTAGAGACAAGGGGATGCATTCCTGATGGAACAAGTGAAGAGTAATTTAGATAGTTTATTAGCCCCCTTCAGGCATAAGAAAGTGATAGCAGAGGTGGAGATCGGCCAACGAGAGGTGGCTGACAGAGAGAATTAGTAATTGTGTTTTACTCACCCCTGCCATCGAAGCATTACTTATGGCAACGGCGGTGGGCCGAGTCAACGAAGGGTTGACTGACGTAGCAAAGGGACTAGCCATAGAGAAATGGCAGACAAAGTGATTTAGTGTGTTTTAACCCACCCCCGTCACTAAGACATAATAATTGGTGACAGCGGTGAGATATCAAATCCACCCCTGTCATAGAGGTGTAATATATGGTGTGACAGTCGATGGGTAGAGGCGGGTCATACCTGACACGCCCGCTTTACGCCAATACGAAGTGGTTACAGTGATGAAGGGGCCAGCCAACAGAGAACGCTCGACTAACGCGCTACCGGCCCTTAGTATTCTCATCAACCCTCTTAAGATATAATAGATGGTGGCAGCTGTATGCAACGAAGAAGGTCCAGAACCAGGAGAATCCTAGCTGAGGGTAATCTAGTATTATTGTGTTAACCCTTTACAGCATAAGATGTGGTGGCAAGGAGGGATACCTCCACGCCCCCTGCCACCACGACGTAATAGCTACAATTAATTATAACAATGTTACGGGTTTACACAATTTACAAACCCTACACACAAATCAATTCACTCTATCCGATTCACTCGTTACAACTGAACTCGGTGACTATTACAATTCAGCTGTCTTAGGCGGCTGCTATATTTCAACTCCGCACTGCTGACTAACTGCTGGCTATATTCCAGCTCAACTCATAGGCTGCTGCCTTGAGAACTGGTTCACTACTGACTTGAGAACTGTTTTCAGCGGCTGTGTAGTTCCCTTATATAGTCGCAGTGTTTGCCTGTTACGTAGCCACACTGTTGGGAGTTGTTTACGGGTACGTAGCGATTGCGGTGTTGTGTGTTACGTCACCGCAGGGAGAGGGGCGGGGTGTTGACTTGCCTATTACCATAGTAATGACAGTGCTACGATGCCGCTACGTACTGCTGGGGAGGGAGGGATGTCCTCCATTGCGCAACACGTCACAATACTCTTTCATATTAGGAAGGTGTTGGCTTAAAATCTCTGCCCATCTACCTGGTTTTCCTTGGACCTCACAACTGAATGCTAGGATAGTACCTAAAAGTATCAGAACCACTTCCACATTTTTTCCCATTTTATTATTCACTAATGTTTTACCATTGAGTGCTTATAGTCTGACCTACTGACAGTGTCCCTAAATTAACAAAAAATAAATACAGCGGAATTCTCTTAAGAAGTTTTTTGGGTCGAAGCTGTTTGACTTCTTATGGGGAGAATTTCTAAAAAAGTAGGTTCAGCAAATCTGCCACACTCATTTTAGCACTCCTGTGAATATTCATAATACATTTGCAATAGTTAATTGCATTAGAAATTCCGCAGTGATCTTCAGATGTTGGGCATATTGCATGAGACTTTTTTATATAGAGTTGATGATACAGATATGTCACATTGTATCTTACTGCAGTTGCTTGGTTTAACTTTAAATATGTAAATGTTTTTATGTTTCAGGATCCAGTCTCTAAAGAGAAACTTGGTCAACTTGATCCCCATGTTACTGCAAGAAGAACGGTTCTTAGCAATATGCCCCGTATCATTGCCAGTGTGTCTGCTTTGTGGCAGGCTGTCTTGACTGGAAATGAATGGTAAATTTATTAAATGTATTTTTTTTTTGTAATTAGAGGAATATAACAGAAAGAATATTGTAGCATGTAGACTCATTACTGGGTGACCTCAAAACAACATTTGCTTCTAGGCAAGTGATTCTTAATAAGCAAGTATATGCGGCCATTACTAAGTAACACCTTTTCAAACAAACCAGTTCCCATGGAAACTCTTGGAGTGCAATAATTAATGATGTTTTCTATGTGATATGTGCTGAGTTGTTATAACTGAGACAAGTTTAGATGTGAGAGAGTTTTGGGATATTTGCCAGACAGCAATGAAGTGAGCATGGAAACTGAAGAAGAATGTCCACTGTTAGAAGCCATTACCAGGGGATGACTGGTGAAGAAACAGAAGACTGAAAAGGCTTAGCATTTGCTGTAGTGATTTGTAAAGTGTGAAAGTTAGGAATAGTGTTATAGTTACTAGTAGTTACAGCCTATAAGTAGTCAGTAAATCCAGTCTCCAATCCAAACCCTGTAAATAGTCACACATACACATGGCAGTATTTAATGCATTAATAATCTGAAGCTACATTCATAGGTAGTTCTGAAATCAGTATCAAATTACAAGTTATGTTTCAAAAGAATATTTCTTTTTTATTTTTTCTTTTGTAAATGTTTAGAAGTTGAACAATGTTCAATAAGACAAGTAAATTAAGAGCTACTTTAAGTGATACACAGTAGTTACATAGTAGCTAGAAGAATGGCATGATACAAATGACGATAGAACATGAAGAATGTGTCATTTGATCAAACAGCTGGATTTGGTAATAAATCAGTTTTGGCAACCTGTTCAGGGAACATCAGAGTTGTGTGCTGGGAAGTCCTCGCGTAGTGAAACATCATCTGCTCGAATTTCTCAGTCCTATTTCTCTGCATCATGGTACCAACTTTTTGGCAGCAATTGCTGTTGCTTGGCAAGAACGGACAGAGCAACTCATCCCAGTTGCAAGAAAGGTTAGTACTTATACCGGTGAGGTTTTCAATTCACTGCCAAATGTAGTCTCTAATTGTGTTCATAATTGCAGGTGGTTCCTACAGCCAGTCCTGATCAGCAAGTGCTAGTCTACCTAGTAGGGGCAATTCGTGTAATGCCTATTGATACGCTTGTACAGACTGTCAATCAGGTAGTGAAGCAACCACCCCCAATACAAGGAGCCAACAAGGTTAGTAAACATGTTGTAATGTTTAATAACATGCTTCAGAGGTTGGCTTACAGAGTTGTGGATTCAGGTCCCATATGTAGAAAATATTCAGATTGCAGCCCCCTGTTGTAGCCAATACCAGGAAACTTCTAGTAACAGACTGAGAACACTAGACAGTGTGCTTTAGTGAATACAAGTATGGAAGTAGTGATAATGTTACATTTATTTGTAGTTACGACCTGGAAGAGGCCAATAAATCTGTTCACCAATCCAAACCATGTCTATAGTCACACATACTACGTGACAGTATTATTCTTCCATCCATACTCATACCTCCCAAGTGTTTCATTTTCTTTCAAGTTTTAAAACCAAAATTTTGTAGGTGTTTCTGATTACATCTAGGCCTGCTACATTTCCTACCCATCTTGTCCTTGCTTATTCAATCATTGTAACAATATTAGATGAAGTATAGAAGTTGTAAAGCCTGTCAGTTTTTGATGGGCCCATTCATATTGTCTAGAGATCTCATTTGCTTCACATGCTGTAGTTTTGTCTCTCTTGTGTGATATTTGGTGGATGGTGGGCTAAATCCCATGTAAATGAATGAATCTAGTGGACTCAGATGTAATCAGTGGCAGAATATTATTCAACGGTAAGAAGTGTTAATTGGATTTTGATATATGTCATTTTGCAGAGCTTATCTCTAGAAGTGAGTGTTCTGGAGTTCTTCTATTGCTACATGCAGACCTGTTCAGGCTCTCAGCTTGCTGAGAGTTGGAGCTCACTTGTTGGATTGCTGAGGGATGGTCTGACCCTTACTCCCCCAGCCCAATTTCTTATGCTTGCTATTCTCAATGAATTTGTCCAAAAATGTCCACCTCTTGCTGAGAAGAAGGATATGAAGGACCTACAAGATATCACAGCAAAGGTTTGTATGAAAGACGGAGTAGAATATTTTTACGCACATTGATATTTGCTGCATGAAATGCTATAGTTTACTCATGCAACTTTTTTGTATATGAAAATTATGGAACTATGCAATGGCATGGATTCCTTATTTTTATTATGTGAAAATTAAGGGAGAGCCACAGAAGCTTTAGGCAAGTAGGCTTGCCATATTTTTGTTTATTATAGTTTATTAATGACACAATCAGTGGAAAATGATTTGGAACGTATCGTGGCATGCCGCCAGGAAGGCCAGACTGTAGAACGTCCATTGCTGGTCAACGGCTAGCAATTCCTAGCCAACAAAACATAAAGAGACCGTTGCGTAGGGAAGTGCTTAAGCAACAGAGACTGAATTGTTGAGTTCCTACGTCAACGAATTGACCCTGCTAACGAAAAGTCTATCTAACATGTGAAACTAAACCCTTCATCAAGGTGTCTTCTATCCTGTCCAAGGGTAGGTTATAAAAGAGTAGAAGACAATAGACCAGGACAGTTCAGATTCAATGAACATTAAAGGAAGAACCGAGAACAGTTCAAAGAACGAAGAATAGTTCAGATTCAACAAGTGAAAAGAGAAGAACCAAGAACGAAGACACTCCACCTAGAATAGCCGTCCAAGAGTATAGCCATTGAAGAGGAAATGTGTAAGGTGTTACTGAGAGTGATTATATTTGTGAGTGTAAACAAATAATTGTCCAATAAACATTCGTCTAATCCGAAACCCACCATTTCTTGTCGCGTTACATAGGAAGCCTGTGACAATATGTAGAAGTAGTCGTGTTGCAATGTGAGGTCCTGTCTTAGTATTTGCCAGAAGGGACTGAGGAAGTTTAGAAAATCCTCAGGATATTTGGTGTCCTAACTTGTCTGAGATTCCAGCAATGCACCTTTTGAACTCCAGTCGGAAGTTTTACCACTTGAACCAAATTGACTTCTTATGTTCAATACCAGAAATTTAGGACATAATGGAAGGTAATTTGCATTGGGTTTTGTGGTTCAAAATTAGCAGTTTCTCACAAAAATGTTGTAATTACAAGGTGGTTCAAATATGACCGGGACTGATTTTTTTTTTTTAAACCATAATTGCCAAACACTTACTTGCACATGTCAGTCTTCAACGTACTCCCCTCCAGAGTCAACACATTTTTTCCAATGTTCTGGAAGCATCCTGATGCCCTTTTAAAAAAAGGCTTGTGGTTGACAGCTTATCCACTCCCGAACAGTCTGGATGACAATGTCGTCCACAAACCGCATGCCTTGCAAGTCTGACTTGAGCCTTCCGAACAGGTAGGAATCACTTGAGGCCAAATTGGGACTGTACGGCGGATGTGTCAGAAGGTTCCTTTTCAATTTACAGAGGGTTTCCATTGATGTTTTGGCCGTATGGGGGCATGCACTGTCTTGAAGGAAGGCTACCCGCTTTCCACCTGTCTTCCGCTTGGATCGGTTCTTTTCATTCACGTCTGTTGCCAGGAGGTCTCAGTAATAAGCTGCATTGACTCTTCTGGCATCTGTCGGAAAGTCTACATGGATAACCCCCTGCCAATCCCAGAAGAACATTGCCATCACTTTTCCTTCCGAACAGCTCCTCCGTGCTCTCTTGGGTTTGGGAGAACTGGTGTGCCGTCACTCGCGTGATGACTGCTGGGACTCGGGAATGAAGTAATGCACCCACGTTTCATCGGTGGTCACTATAGACTTCAAGAATGCATCACCTTCGTCTTCAAACTGCTGTAGGAGATGACTGACAGCTTGCATGCGCACCATTTTGATCACATCCATCAAAGTGCATGGTACCCACCGTGAATTCACCTTGCGAATGTGCAGGTTGTATTTCATGATGTCTTCTACACCACCAACACCGATGGACAGCATTGCTCAAAGTACCTTGATAGTGATGTGCCTATTCTCACGAATAAGTGCATCTGCACGATCAGTGTTTGGCTTGGTGACGGATGTTCGCGGCCGACGATCATGCGGTTCATTCTCCACGCGCTCTCTGCCCTCTCTGAAGCACTTACGCCACTCAAACACACGGGTCCGTGAGAGACACTCTTTCCCATGCTGTTGTTGGAGTCTGTGGTGAATTTCAGCAGACGGGACGTTTTCTCCAACAAGGATTTTGATCACAATGCATTGTTCCACGCTCCGCAGTGCCCTCTGTTCACTCGTCACTCTAGCAACTCCCAGACAGAACTGAACAGGTTCTAACCTGAACAGGAGGGAGGGTGGAGGTTGTGGCTTCACTCCCTCAAGGTCGCACAGCTGCTGCGCTGTGCGGCTTGTTTACACACAAATCAGTCCCGGTCATATTTGAACCACCTTGTATAACATGGTAGGTGTGATAAATATTGAATATTTTCTACTGTTTATTATTATTATTATTATTATTATTATTATT